CAAAGTAGGTCAGCCCCTATCTAATGGATGTCCAACATAATGAAATAATAGGCTGTCAGAACTGAGTTAAAATGCTTCTTTAAATATAGAAGTATTTTTTAAATAGACTCTCTTATTTTGTTAGTGGATGACCTATCCTTTTTGGAATATTATCTAGACAATGTAATTCAAGCAAGGCAATTTACCCGTGTAATATGTCAAGCTCTACATACTTCTCCTGCCAATTCTTGATTTGTGCTGTTGCTCTCAGGAGCAGGTATGCATTGCTAAATGAAACTGGGGCTAGGTTTAGGAAGATGTAAGAAGGAAGCAACAGAATTAAAATTAGCATTCAAACAATAACTTTCATGCATGGATTCCCAGCAACAGATTGATCCACTCTTTCATTTTAAAAGGGTCATTTTAACTCTGGAACATCTGTCAGTATTTATGCTGAGAAAATAATAGGGAACAATAGAAATGTTTCAGTCCTATCTGAACTCATTTATTCCATATAGTCTGTCCCAAGGCCATTCATGTCTTATTGTTTAGCTGAAAGTAAATTATTAGAAAAACATTCTAATTCTACAAGAATCATGTTTGCCTCAACGTGGTAGCACAAATTGAGTCATGTATAATACTTTGCTGTTCCTTTAATATACATGTTATAATATTCAAACAATAACCTGAAAATTAAAAATTAAGTATAGCAATCTACTTTTTATCAGGAGCCAAAGTTGGGAAAAATAGTATGTATTGCATCCTTAAATTGTTCTTGTACTGTCCTGATGCCATTTTAGTTTTCAAATAGATTCTTGAAAAATCCTGTCCAGATTGAGATACTTTGGCAACAGCTTGGGTGGCCCTACATATTTTCATAAACAAACGAACAAACAAACACCTAATCTACAAAGTAAATTATTGAATATACAAGATCAGCAATTATCCAGAAAACACATTATATACAAAAAGACACCTATCATGGGAATGCAACCACCCTGCCCGAAGACTGGGAAAACAACCACATTTTCAAGGTCTTTTAAAACACCATCAGGAGATTCTCTTTGAAGAATCTCATTCCAGAAGGAACAAGTAAATTAGGTAAACAGCAATAATGTTAGATTACACACTTTTATATCATGTTAAATAATTTATTTATTTATTTATTTATTTAAAAAAATATGATCACTCTCAGCAACTCTGCATGGTTTGCAAAGATAAAAATCTGAATACAAAAACAATACAAAAAGAAATGACTGTTCCCATCTCCTGCCGACAACAATCAAATGATTGGCTCCATATCATTCTGGGGTCCCAGTCTTGTTGGCAGAACCATGCCTTCAGGATCTTATGAAAGAGTGCCAAACTCAAATCTTATCTCTGCAAGGATGATGTTCCAAAGGAGGTGGAGGGTGGGAGCTACCACAGAGAAGCCTCCACTAGATGGACCTTTTTAGATTAGGGGACCAATAATGTTCTCTGTCTCCTCACTCTGGTAGATTGGGTAGATAATATGATTGAGAAATATAACTTCATCCCAAATGATGTAAGACTTTAAAGGTGACAGCCAGTGCCTTGAATCAGCAAATCAGCAGCCAATGTATTTCCTGCATGAGAATTGACATATGTGCAGATCTAGGTTTGCACAAAACAATGCAGGTCATACCGCATTTTGAACTAATTGAAGCTTCCAGTTACTTTTAAAGAGCCCCATGTAGACACCATTGCAATAGTCAAAACCTTTATATAAGGTTTTGTAAATGGTAGGGTGACCAGATGTCCCGCATTTGGCAGGACAGGCATGCTTTATCATAATTTTCCCCGCGTCCCGGGCCATTCTTGAAAGATCCCACTTTTAANCAAATTCCCCTTGGATGCAGACTCTACCAGGTCATGACCCTACCCAGATATGACATGCTCCCTACCTGATGCTGGAGTCAGAATATCATGACTCCTATAGGCCATGTTGAACCTAATCCCATCAAAAAAAAAAAGTGACAGTCAATCCTGCACTGTGTGATTACCCAGCCTTCATCCTATATGGATTTGAATCAAAATTAAGTAAAATGAATAATTCACAGAACTCTGGACTGCAGTGTATTTGAGAAGAAAACACTCATGTCTCGTCTTGTATTCCCCTCCCTATAAATTGTGAGCCGCCCTGAGTCCCCTCAGGGAAAAGGGCGGCCTATAAATAATAAACAAACAAAACAAACAAACTATGTATTGATAAATAAATGAATAAATAAATAATTTTCTCTCATTTTTTTCCTTTTATGTACTCTTTCCTTTGTATTTAAACTATTCTTTCAGATTTGAAAGTTTTTTTCCCTGCTAGATTGTTGGGTAACTTAAGCAAAAATATAAAGTAAAATACACTATATTGCCAAAAGTATTCGCTCACTGCTTCTGATTATGTGGATGGGTGAGTGAATACTTTTATATATAATATAGTGTATGTTTTATAGTGGCACCATATAATTAAGTAATAAAGAAAGTACATTCATATTCTGGTATATATACAGTATTTGGCTTCAACTAACACTGATGTCATACATTTTTAAGACTATGGCAAAACTTGGTGGATTTCACAATTATTTCCAGGTGGGATGGTAGCAGCCATTTTATTTTATCTATTTGACATAGGATAATCTATTTATTTGATTGTAACAGAAAAATAAATGGCAGTTCCATGAAGCAGCTTTAAAAAACATTTTGTTACTATCCTCAAAACAGCAGGATCAATGTTCCCTTTAATCTGCGCGCCTGCGCGGCCACGCAGGTAACAATAAAACACCGCACAGAAGTTTCAAACTGCAGCGCAGTGTTTTTTAATGTCTTTAAATGTGACTGAAAATATCCCCCCTCCTTCCCTTCTCTCTCTGCACTGAACTCTCTCCTCCATCTGGTGATTGGTGAAATAAGGAAGACTCTGCCCGGAGACCGATGACGCTGCAGAAGGAAGAA